TGGGATCTCCTCATTTCTGGGATCTCCTCATTTCTGGGATCTCCTCATTTCTGGGATCCCAGGAGCTCCCTGGCAGAGCTGGGAGCAGGGAATGGGGCAGCAGGGGCTGAGCCAGGGCTGCACCTGCAGGGTTAAAGATCCCACACTTGTCATAAACACAGAAACCTTCAGTGCATCCAGGGGCTCATTGCAATTCCAGCTCTAAAAATATAACGAGTAAAGCTTGATTATCTTTGGTCCTTGATTTCTGCTGTGCTTTCCCACCTGGTTACAATATTCCTTAATTTTTGCTGAGCTTTCTTCCCACCTGATTAGACTGATCCTTAATTTCTGCTGTGCTTTCTCACCTGATCACATTATTCCCTAATTCCAGCCTTGCTTTTCCACCTGATTCCATTATTCCCTAATTTCTGCTGTGCTATCCTAAGTAATCACATTATTCCCTAATTTTTGTCTTGCTTTTCCACCTGATTCCATTATTTCCTAATTTTTTCTGTGCTTTCCCACCTGATTCCATTATTCTTTAATTTCAGCCTTGCTTTCCTACCTGTTTCCATTATTCCCTAATTTCTGCTGTGCTTTCCTACCTGATTCCATTATTCCCTAATTTCTGCTGTGCTTTCCCACCTGATCACATTATTCCCTAATTTCTGCTGTGCTTTCCCACCTGATTCCATTATTCCCTAATTTCTGCTGTGCTTTCCCACCTGATTCCATGATTCCCTAAGCTCTGCAGTCCCTCCCTGGTGCTCAGGGGATTCCCTGGTTCCTGCTGTGCTGTCCAGGTGTGTCCCATCCCTGCTGGGCAGTCCCAATCCCATTCCCACCCTGCAGCAGGGTGGGCTCTGGCCCTGGGGTTTGGCTGGGTCACCCCATCCAGGCCTCCCAGGGATGATGTGAATGGATGTCACTAATGAAAGCAGCATTAATTAATGGTTTCTCCTGATTGCAGGATCCTGGGCCTCCTCCACCATCGCCCCTGATGGGTCTGAAGCCGCTGCAGCTCCTGGAGATCAAGGCCAGGGGCAGGTTTGGGTGTGTGTGGAAGGCTCAGCTGCTCAATGAATACGTTGCAGTCAAAATATTCCCCATCCAGGTGAGCAGAACCCTTGGGGTCCTGGGTTTTCCTCACATTAAAGCAGCTTTTCTTGGCCCAATAATTCTGTAAATCCAAGTGGAAATGGACTTGAGGTGTAAAAGAAACAGGAAGAGTTCAGTGATTTAAAATAAGTGTTTTACTGCAGTAAACACATTGCTGAAACATAAACCCTGTGAAATGTGGGCTTCTAATCATAAAAATATTCAGCATCCGTAGTTTTCAGCAGCTCTAACCCACCTCTTGACCAGTTAATAATCAAATTAAACAGTGCTTAGAAGGAATGCCCTGAAATGCAGCCCCTGGAGTGCCTGTTCCAATTAACCCTGCCTCAATTAGTGCCACAGCACTCATTGCCCAGCAAGGGCCATGGCTCACATTAAATGGATTGAGGAATCTGGAGAGCCCCGAGTGGGGCTGGGTGCTGATCCTGGGATGGGTTTGCTCTGATTGAAGCCCCCCCTGCTGCTGGAGCTGCAGGGATTTGTTCCTCACACCCATCCAGAGCTGCAGGCTCTCGTTATTTCACCAGAAACTCCAGGGGTTTCTGTCAGAGCATTCCCAAACTCTGTCAGCGTTCAGGACGTCCCTCTGGCTGTGCTGCACTGCCAGGGGGCTCAGAGACCCTGGCACACAGCCCAGACCCCTGTGATTTTGATTATGACCCATAGAAAAAATTACCAACCTTATATAAGGACCTGCAAACCACAAAAGTCTAAGTAGAATAATAATTAATTTGTCATGGGGTGAAA